CTTCAACGATTGTGCCAGGTAGCCTTTTCCTATGACTTGGTATAGTTCGTATACTGTATGTATTCATTCAATCGAAGTGCTAATACGTTAGTTCGTTTGCAGATCGATAGGCGCGAGGTGAATATTGGTGTCTCTCCGTCAGATACAGTCCACGTGTCACATCCATTGGTATTCAATGTTATCCCCGAGCATGATGGGGATGTTGATGACCATCAACCTGGAGGTTCCGATGCTGGAAAGGATGATGATGTGGTTCATGTAGAAGCGTCGTTGCATGAAAAGGCAACAGATGTTGTAGAGATGACCATACACCCATCCGATTTTGAAGATGCTGAACTAGCCAACCCCCTGCGTATCATTGATTCGGTGGAGTTGGACGTTGCAGTGGGGACACCCATTCTTTCGACGAAGCTGGTGGAACTCGAAATGACACCTCCAATAGTACATGATCCACAAGCAGAGACAACGTCTGATCCAACCTTCGAGCCTCCTGCCTCAAGCAACATTGATGGTTCGTGTGGCACGATCCATGCGCCTCGTCAAGCCGATCATATTGAGTTGGCCCTTACATCAGCGGATACGACCCCCACTACTCAACCTATTCCCACCTCTACACCAGCATGTACGACTGCCACCCCTCATCCCGTGGGTTCTACTAACCTCGAGTTAGAGAAAATTCCTGAACCGTTGGCCATCGTGCACAAGCCAACTAAGGAAAAGAACCCCCCTCATGGCAAAAAAGCGACCACAATCCGGTTTACGGCACCGTGAGAAGCCCCACTTGTTGTCAGCGGTTCTGCTGTTAAAGAATCCACTAAGTCGAAGAAAACCAAACAAAAAACTTCTCCTAAGCAGTCGGCCACGAAAACCGAGGTATGGTCTTGCACATCCTTTTCTAAACTTAACAAACTACGTACGGTAAAAAAAATTGCCTCTTCCTTGTGTTTTGTAGGTTTCATATCCCGACGAAACAAGAAGGACGGAGCGTAAGCGGACGGAAACGAAACCATTCAGTCCGAAGGACACGCATCGGCAGAAGAAGAAGCAAAAGATGGTGGATGTGGAGCCCGTACCTGCTAGCCAGGTTAGGCCATTTCGTCCCAAATACAACCCATTGCATAACTTTCCGGATGCGAAGTTTAGGGAGATGATGCGTTGGGTACGAGACCCTGGGAATGACAAAATAACGCGACTGTCTACAACATGGAATGTGCAGAGCGGATATTCTAGGAAATTCTTCTTTAACATCCTCAATCCTAAGGAGAAGGTCGAAGACCCGGTAAGTGATACAACACATCCCATAACTCTAGGCCCATTACTGCACTGTGTTTCACCAAACATATCTGTTGTACTTGTGAGTGCAGGAAGCTGCTGCCATTACATATTTTATTATGAGGAAGCTCGGTAGTCGGCCGCACCTATGCGTTCATAAGATTTTTGTCCTGGACCCACTATAAATGGTAAGATAGGTAGTTCATTCATACACGCATAATATTTATGTTTCGACAAATCTAATGGTGATTGTTCTGCGTGTGTGTGATGTTGCTGTTATGCAGCAAGTTATTGCCGCTGCAACTGGTCCTTACTCACAAATCAAGGGGAAGGTCGTCCAGGACATGATCAATGCTTGGGACGAGTATAAGGAGTGCATGGATGTCGTGCTACGTCAGGTGGAAGATTTCATTCCATTCTGGGTTGACGTCGACATAGTGTACAGCCCGCTCTGTATCAAGGATCATTGGGTCCTGGTTGCGATAGATATGACCCAGTCCGAAATTTTTTTGTACGACTCATTGCCAGGCCACATTTCCACGTCGAAGTTGATGACAGACGTGCGGCCGTTGAGTCATACAATCCCATCGCTTTTGTACGCATGTGGGCTGATGGATACAGCCGATTGCAAGCTGAGGAAGACTCCGTGGCGTGTATACCATCCTACGACCGACACGAGGTACAAAGGTAGTATAGACTGTGGTATTTTTGCATGTAAATTTATGGAATATCTTGTGTCTGGTAATACTTTAGAAACTCTGGTTCAGTCTGAAGTGTCGCACATTAGAAGGAGTATGCGATACAACTTTGGCATAATGAATCTTACTTTGAATGAACATTTCTTTTTTTTCATTGCGTCTTATAAGCTTGCTCTCGATGTAAATCGATCTTGATGTTATTCGATCTCGATCTCGATCTCGATGTTATTCAATCTCGATCTCCATCTCCATCTCGATCTCGATATCACTCTCAATCTAACTCGACCTAACTCGACCTAACTCGATCTAACTCGTTCTCGATGTTATTCACTCTCGATCTCGATCTAACATGCAATTGGAGGGTTGCAGCCCACTCCGTCGGTAAATCTTCGATATTTTGTATATCAAAGTATGTAGATGCACACACCTGCACGATTGACACTATGAACCACGACCACAAATAGGCGAGCAGCTGGGTCGTAGCGAATCTTATTAAGGATAGAGTTGCTGGAACCGGTCGTATTTACAAGATAAAGTATATTAAGGAGGATGTCCGTAAAGAGTTCGGGGTGAACATAAGTTATGACAAGGCCCATCGAGCAAGGGAGTTAGCATACGCTATTGTTAGGGGCCGACCGGAGGACTCCTACATGCATCTCCATGCGTAAGGTGAAGCGATAAAAATAGAGAATCCAAGTACTATTTTCCACATCGAGACTGAAAGTTCGCTTAACTTCAAATACCTGTACATGGCATTGGGTGCCAGCATTAGAGGGTTTCAGTCAATCACAAGGCGTGTAATTATGGTTGATGGCACACATTTGAAAGGGAAGTTCAGAGGAGTGCTACTAATAGGTGTCGCCATGGACGGGAATAATCAAATATATCCACTTGCATTCGTGATTGTAGACAACGAAAGCGATGCATCGTGGAAGTGGTTTATGAAGAACTTGAAGGACATGATCGGACACCCACCAGAACTTGTATTCATATCTGATCGACATGTAAGTATCACCAATGCAACAAGTGAAATATTCCCGGACGCATTTCATGCTATATGCACTTATCACCTAGGGAACAACATAAAGACTCGATTCAAGAATGCTGCATTTTACAAATTGTATCAGGATGCAGCGTATGCGTATCGAAAGTCACAGTTCACGTACAACTGGAACCAGATACTATCAGTTGGATCGGGTTCACTTGCCAAATACTTACAAGAAATTGGGGTAGAACGGTGGGCCCGAGCTACCAAGTTGGTAGAAGATATGAAAACATGACGACAAACAGCGCTGAGTCGGTAAATGCCCTCATTCGAGAGGCTAGAAAGTTACCTATCACTAAGACTGTCGAGTTCATCTGCGACTTGCTACAAAGATGGTTCCACGAAAGAAGGACCCACTGGTCCACCCAAAACACCTCTCATTCAGACTATGCAGAAGAGCGACTTGCACTTCAGTTTGAGAAGTCTCGTCGCTACACAGTCAAACCAGTTTACTGGTGCATGTTTCATGTTGAGGACGGTGGCTTGGATGGGACGGTTGATTTGAATGCCCGTACATGTACATGCATGGAGTTCCAGTACATGGGCATTCCATGTTCGCACGCAATTGTAGCAGTGAGGCACAAGAATATAAATTGCCACACGTTGATCGATCCATACTACAGTGTGGACTCCCTAATTGGTACCTACGCCGAACCAATCTTACCTGTAGGCCACATGTCGGAATGGAAAAGGCCAGCTGATTACTAGCCTATTCCCATCCAACCACCAAGACTTGTTAAACGTGCAGGCCGGCGTAGAACGCAACGGATCGCCTCAATCGGTGAGTGTCGTGTTGTCAACAAGTGTTCTCGATGCGGTACATCGGGTCACAATAGACAGACATGTACTAACCCAATTACGATGGCACGGACATCTGCATGCATATATGGAGGGGACGGTGTAAGTCAATCAGATAGGTCAGTTCCTCTATGAGAACACCCAATTTCTATAGTAGTATATTTGTTCTTCAGTATCAGGAATCTGTCTCGCTCTCGCTGTCTCGCTTTCTTGCTCTCATTGTCTCGCTCTCGCTGTCTCGATGTTATGGTCTCGATCTCTTTCGCTATCGTTCTTCTCCATGTATATTTATCGCAACGATAACCTATCTTCCTCGCTATCTCGCTTTCTCGCTTTCTCGCTTTCTCGATTTCTCTCTTTCTCGCTCTCTCGCATTCTAGACGTATGTATCCATACCCATTTATCTTGTAATTAAGAGGTTAAGTAAGAGGGTGGTTAATTAATGCGCTCTTTCAAATCCTTAGTCCCAGTTGTCTTTCCACCTTTCCAATGCAGTAATTAATTACTCTTCCTACCCGTTATCCCAATTTTCGATTTAATTATTTTGTCAATTTTCCCTTGTTTTCACATCCATTATGAAACCAACAAATTTCTCTATATATAGATACCACAAAGTACACAACAACGACATCCAGATTAGAAGTATCTAACATTTATTTTTCAGAAGCAAACATGTCAACATCTAACGACTCGGACGATTCCTCTTCCGACGGAGCAACCAGTCCTATCTCAAACCATCCCTCCTCCTTCGTGGAGAACGGAGTGCTAAGTAACGGTCCTCTTCAACAAGCACGGGAAGAAAACGACTAGCTCAGGAGAGAGCTACGTTGAACGCAACACGAGCTCAACAACACGAGGTATAGGTTAGCCCGGGTTGAAGAAAGGCGGGACTTGCTGGAGGGACTGCTGAAGGAGGAGAATGAGGAACGACTTCGTCTGGAAGACATGGTGGCTCTGTTACTGGCCCGTCTACGCCGATACCGTAATAATAATAATTTTTAAAATCTCATTCTAGTAGTAGCTTATGGTTGTTGTTTTGTTTAAACTACTAAAAAAAACTTTTGTAATGGAATGGATGGAGCCCATGTTTGCTACTTTAATTAATCAATTATTTGTTGTTAGTGCTTACTTTCTCAATATCCTACAGTCTTCTTTCTCTTTCACGCTCATTCTCGTTCGTGATAATTTTCGTTGTACTTCTAAAATTTATCCTTAATTATCATCACGGTCGCTTACTTATTACTATTTCTTCAACATTTATCCACTTATCGTATGGTGCTGTTAATCGTTCACGATGACGTCTCATTTTCGTTCAAGCTCATTCTCGTTCAAGCTTATTCACGATCTCTTTCGTTATCTGTTTTGCACTCTCGCTGCTATTTTCCACTGCACCTGTTTATTCTCAATAGACTAAAATCGAATAAGTATAAAATAAATAAATAAATGCAGCCTTTAAAGAACATCAACCAACAATTGAAAGAATTAAATTTCACGTTTTTTCATCTCTCTCGCTCTCGTTCATGCACGCTCTCGATCAAGCCCATGCACGCTCTCGCTGTACGCTCTCGCTGTACGCTCTCGATCAAGCTCATGCACGCTTTCGCTGTACGCTCTCGATCAAGCTCATGAACGCTCTCGATCTCGCTCTCGCTCATGAACGCTCTCGATCTCGCTCTCGCTCATGAACACTCTCGATCTAGATCATCCTCAAAGTAGCTATCCATATCCATTTAACGCGCTAACGATCTCCTTCTTGCCTTCACACCCTGTCTGTCAGCTTCTCTCCCTCCACGTCTAAAAATCAACAACCCAGTAAACAAACAAATAAATAACTTATATGAGAACAAGCCCAACGAAACATTTCAAAACAAAGACCGATGGATAATGGAGTTCGAGCATCGACAGTCAGTCGCCTGTAGATGACAGAAGCAAAACAACCCTAATAGTGAGAGAAAAATGGAAGACCGATAGATGCTGGAGTTCAAGCATCGAGAGTTGCCTGTAGATGAGAGAAACAAAACAACGAAAAATAATGAGAGAGAAATGGAGTGTTTTCAAGTAAGGGAGGAGGGAAAACTAAAATTTGGTACCTAAGTAAGGAGGGGCATGGAGGTCATTTGGCAAAGTAGGTGATGTTAGCAAATGACTAGAAAACTTTATGTTTTGAGAAGGGCAATTAAAAAACTTAATAGGCCCCTACAGGAGGCTTATTTTGTCAATTTTCCCTCTCTCCTCTCTCCTCTCTCTTTCCTCCTCTATCTTCTCTCCTATCCATTTTTTCTCTCTTTTACTTGCAGAAGAAAAAAAAAATATCTCTCTAGCTCTGTTCAATTCTTCTCCCCTCTTCCCCATTTTTTGCCCTCGTTATATCTATTATCCAGTTTTCCCCATCTCCTCTCTCTGCGATTCACACTGATGGTGGAAGATTGGAGTTCTGAAAGTCGACGGTGGTGGAGCAACCGATGACGACATGGATGATGGCGGCACAATCAAAAATCACACCATTAAACTACACCATGCATTTCTCATATCTCTTTGATTGAAGGATCTCTCTCAGATCTATCTCACTCTCTGTCAGATTTTTTTAGCTCTCACTCTCGATTAGATCTTGGCCGGGAGAGACCGAGAGCGAGAACTTGATTGAGACCGTGAGTTGGAGAGCGAGATCAAAGAGATTTGACTTTTTTTTTACGTTGATTTTGGGACTTCGAGAATGAGCACGAGATTGGAGTGAGAAAGATTGAGGTAAATCTAGTTTTCTTCCTTCCTCATATTTTGTTTCCATTTTCAAGTTAATTTAATATACATTTTCTCAAATTGTGTTTCCTTTTATTCCATTAAATTTAATGTATATTTTCCCAAATTTTGTTTCCTTTTATTCAACTCATTTTAATATATATTATCTAATTAAATTTAGTTTGAATATTAATTTGATTTTGATTGGATTCTTCAATTTGTTATGTATGCAATCCCCAACTAAATTTATTGTTCTTAAAAATTAATTTTAATTGAAACTTAGTTTGAAATTGGTGTAGCATCTAAAATAATTGATGTCAATGCATGGTAGTTTTTAAAAAGTTATATTCAGACTTGTAAAGTAAATCAATATTTTTGTAAATTTCAATTTTAAGATGAAAAAAAATACAATATTGCATTTGATAAATTGATATTAAATTGTTGCGATGTAGCTTGACTAAAATAGACTTAATATTTTAATTATGCACATGTTGTTTTAATATTTCATCCTTCTATAAAAAAAATTAATTTCCTAAAAAATTATAAGATAATTGTTTACAAGTTTAAATTATAGATTATATTTTATTTATTAAATTATTTTATAACTATTTAAAAAATAATTTAAATTATAAAGAAGGTCAGAGATGAGATACATTGTCAATTAGGTTGTTTAAAAACTTTTGTGGTAGATAATGATATGGAAAGATAAGATGAAAATTTTTAAAAAATTTTGTTAGTAAATTCGCTATATTTTCACGAAAACTAAAATTTAAAACTTTTTTTAGGCACTAAAATTTAAAACTCATATCAACATAATTAATTCGAAAAGTGAATATATTTAAATTAATAAATAAACAATTTTATTAAATACTAAAAATAGTTACATGGTAATCAAACCATTCAACTTATAACACAAAACCAAATCAAACCCAAAAAAAAGAAAAAAATTGATTCTCTCACTTTCAAAACGGAACATAAGAATCCAACCAAATCAAACAATTCAATTCGATTTTGTTTAGCTATTGATTTTCTTAATGTTTTTAGATAATAGGTTCGAATCCTTTCTTTTTATAATATGAAGATGAAGATAAAATTGTTTGGAAAAAAACTAATTTTTGAAAGATTAAAATTAGTTGATTTAAATTAGTTGGTAAAAATAAATAAACAAATAGTGTAAAGGTTTTATAGTTGATTTAAATTAGTTTTGCTCTTGTTCTCGATTAAGTTTTCAGTATTGCTCTCAATCAAGTTCTCGCTCTCGGCCAATATCTGATCGAAAGTGAGAACGAAAAAAATCTGACGGGGTGCCAGACAAGGTCTCTTTTATTGTGGGATCCTTTGAGCATTTTGGGCTCTGATACGATCCATATTCATGGGGTTTTATCTCCAAATCAATTTAAAATGAGAGAAGTAGCTCATGTCTGTTATAAACGTATGTAAGATCCCTTCTTTAATCAATGTGAGATCCTTAACGTGCACCTTCAAGATCGTGGCGCTTTTGCTCATTGATCTTGGTCGAATCCCATTTTTGGGCTGGAAGCTCGTATGAGCTTTTGGGCTCTGATACCATATTAATATTCATGGGTTTCATCTCAAAATAAATTGGCAATGAGAGGAGTAACTCATGTCTATTATAAACAATTGTAAGGTCCATTTTCTTTTCAATTTGGGCTCTTTTCAATTTGGCGAGTGTTGTTAATAATATTGTTCTCCGAACATTTTAAATTGTACAACTACCACCCTATTGTTTTAAACCTATCACAAGCTTTATTGTCTCTTAGATCTAATTGATATTGAAAATTTTAGATATTTTTGTTTTAAATCTGTATATTGGCATTACATATAGGTGATTTTTTTTCTATAAATTAGACTGATATATTTTTACTTATATTTTTTCTCATTTTTTCTATTGAATATATTTTATGTTGTTGGATGTGTATGTATGCACAGTGGCACATCGAGGATTCTATGTCAGAGGCACAAATACATGTAAAGATAATAGATAATTTAAAAATATCAATTTCATTCTAAAACTTAGCGATGTCTATCAATTTTCACCCTACAATTGGATAATGTTGTAATTTTCACCTTGTACTTAAATTTACAATTCGATAGATGTTCATTTGAAAAATTGTTAAAAAAAATAATCTCAAGTGTCAAATGAATTACAAAAC